TACAGTGTTTTTGAGAATCCATACAGCATTACAAAACATGATATTGCAATACTCAAGTGTATGGATATTTTCTTGCACCCCTATTAGAAATCTGGTAAATATTTGTCGAATTCCATGACCCCAGTTTGTAATGGTGGGTTTCTGGTAAAAATTCAATCTTAACCAAATCTGAAAATAACCCGGATGATGTCATGAGAGTTATTTCCCCAGAATTTAGAAAGCTGCCTCCAGAGCCACAAAACACATTATACAACAGTTTTTACAGGCTGACTGGTACTCCCAGTGACAAGTAAACTGACCTCTATGTGTATCAGTGGTGCTTCCCTATAGCTGGAATTTTTAAATGCAGTGAAATGCTACAAATCCAATTCCACTTCAACTTATTGAATTGAGGTTAAGGCAGAAATCTCAGAGGCAGATGCTTGAAAGCCTTATTCATACAACCAAAACTGTCTGTATGGTTAGATAACACTGGGGGTAAGTAGTTGTTGTTTGGGTTAGCCAAACCTCACTAGGTGCTCCATGCTAATAGTGTCATCATCACGCGGCATTCAAGTCCATTGCAAAAGCACATCAGCAACTTTATCAATCCCCCAAGGAAAATGATTTTAATGTGATTTGCCTCTACAGCCCAGATAGTGTCCTCTTAATGGATTTCTGTATGTTGGATGATGGCCTGGATTTGCCCATATAGACACAAGCCCATTAACTACCATTCGCTAAACTGGGTCCCATGGGAGCAAAACAGGAACAAAGCCCATCACTGTTCTCTGGTCAAGACACTGAATCTTGCTTTAGCCGCTTCATCATAGGTTCCCACCACAGAAGCTCTCAGTGTGTGAAGAATCTGTGTGAAACGGAGGAGACTGGCATATTTTTCAGTTTTCACACAGATTTCACTGCATCAAGTTTGACACTGTGGTATGATAATTGTATTAAATAAATATATTGCATTGAAAATACATTTCATTCTGCAAAATAAGATTCCTTTTAGTAGGACTAGATACAATATCTGCATGATCTGTATCATGTAGAATGAGTAGAGCCAGAAGAGGAAGTGCTGCAGTTCTTCTTGGAATTAAACACTTTTCACACCTAGTGTAAAAAAAAAAAATAGAAAATTAAATTAAAGACAAGATTGATTTTACTGTAGCACAATCCCAACAAATATAGTTCAGAATTATATATTGATATAATGATACGGTAAAAGTACTTTCAGATTGTCATGTGTATGCACTGCTCTTGAAATAAGCACACTGCTACTGGTTACAAGCACGCTGTGTGTCTTTACAGTAGTGTTTATTTTTATTGTTATGGCAGTGGATGTGACAGGAGCTTTATTCTCAGCAGACAGTCTAAATGTTTTATTTTATTTTTTTTCCATCTGACCAAAGTGTTATTTGTCTAGCCTGAGGAATTTGGAGGCAGGCTGAATAAACTGAGTGGACCTCAGCTCAGGGCAGAGACAGTATCAGGATTCAGAATGGCATCTGCAATTGCTCATTCTGAAAAGTAGATGTCAGAGGTGTGAGGAGGCGTCCTTTAAAAAGTTTTGCAACTCCTGTTGTTCCCATCTTGGAGGTGACGTTTATTCAGTCTTCCTCGTGAATGTGTCTCCTCGGGAGGTGATTGATGAGGGCGTGGCAAACGGCTGAAGGACACATCCTCTGGCTGGTTGTGCATAAGAATGGATGACAGACAGGGTGAAGTCCAGACTCTAAGAGCAGACTGCAGGTGGGGAAAACTCAAAGATCACATGATCATAAACCAAGCTGAGCCTGCTGTTATTCTCAGCAGGTCAAAGGTCAGGGGTTATTCACCCGTTGGGATCAATAATACTTTATTAGATCACTCAATCTAAGATTTTAAATACATTTTTGTGTGTCAATATTCTTCTGCCTTGATGTCAGTGTAAAAAATTATTTGTTCTTAAACTAATGTTTTTTTTGCTCTAACACTATACTATTTAACTATAAACCATTCCATTTTAATTCCTTTACTGATAAAGACAGTACATGTTTATCGTTTTTTAATAGATAACACTGTTAAGGTGCAATCACTTCATATGTTTAACAGAATATATTTCTAACTTATGTCAAAGCTACCTTTTCAATCTGTTTTAATTTGTTCACAATTTTATAATTATGGTGTAATTAAGTCATATTTCTATGTAAATCTTTCTTCGGCATGTGCATGCTCCACTGCGGTTTAGATATTGGAGAGCAGATATTTAGAACTCAATCCAATGTTGAAGTATTTCAGTGCTACATTTTCCAGATTTTCATTTATTGCGTAAAAGTATGGCCGGCTTTTTTTTCTGTTTACCTAAAAAAGGAACCTGAAGTAAGATGCAGCCTTAAATGGATCAAAGTGTAGTCTTGAAAAATGAATGGTTTTATTGTTGTCTTACAGGGGACCGTTGCAGGGTCACAGCTGAGGTGAAACATGTGAGCATCATGGGTGCTGAGACGGATTGTTCCTCTGTCTCTTTCATTTCTTGGGGGCTGTTAAATCACAGATTGTCTCCCACAATTAAGAAAGTAGCAGATGGATGCTGGAAAGCTGATAATTTAATAGAAACATTTACAATATTTATTTCCAGCTGGGGAGTATTTGGAGTTATTTCTTGTTTTGTTTTGCCATTTGAAAAATAGTAAGAAAGCAAGAGGCCTTGCATCAAAAGCATCTATTGAAAGCATTTGCTTCACACTCTCCTTGAACTTTTGCTTTGTTCTGATAGAAATATCTCTCACTGATGAGAACAGTAGTTCCAAAATAGGATACAGTAGCTGAGCTGTTAACCAAGAAAGTATCTTCTTCACAGTTCAGATTTTCTTAGAGCTTTTTCTCCATCTGCTGCTTCTGTTGGTTTCATGTGGCTGTTTTAATTTTGAGTGTAGGCTGAAATGAAGGTGTCCTAACATAAGTGACTAGCTTTTCTTACTCCTTTCTCTTCCTCTAACGCAGCAGAGAAATCTCAGAAAATCACAGCAAATATCCCATAAGCACTGCTCATCCACCCACTAGGAATAAATTGCACTCCAGCGGTGTTGGAGAAATGTTAATCATCGCCCCAACTGGGTTCAGACTGTGGAAACGTTTAAGTGGCAAAGACTGTTTCTTTAAAAACCTGTGCGATTATATAAATACTGTAAAACAAAGCATGCTAAATATTACCAGCTTTAAATTGATGAGTCTTGACTGTTTCAAATAGACTATTTAACTGTGCTATATGTCTTGCCAAGAAGGTTTAATCATTAATGTATGCCCCCTGGTCCTGTGGTGCTTACTGTATGTAATATTTTCATAATGAAAACACACACAGAGGAAAGTTATCGCTGTTTGATGCTCTGGCAGTGGTAGCTACAAGCCTGT